CACCTGATTGAAAATTCAGCAACTTGGGAAGTTGCTGTTTTGGATTTTCCCCGAATTCCGAGTTTTGAGTCCTGGTTTGTGTCTTGTTGGTGGTAAGTCTGCTCACCAACAACCCTACCCCCATTTAAAAAACAAATTCAGTTGGTCAAATAAAAATTAAAGAGGCAGAAAATATGGGAATGATTAATTTATATAACATACCAAGCAAAATCTGAACCATTTTATGATTTTTCTCTTGTTGACCATGTTGCAGACAAAGATGTATATAAACATGCAATAAATTTAATCTATAGGACAGGGGACTGATTGGGCAAAACCCCATTCAGACCCTACCCAAAATTATAAATTGGTTAGTATCAAAGAAACAGAGAATTTATGAAAATAATTATACAAAACAAACACTATTTTACAACTTTCCTCTTAACATCAGAGCCCAAATGCAATTTCAGGGTCACCAACCCCACCCTGAATTGTAACCTCATGTACTTGAAACGAGTTGCAGATTCTCTTAATATTCCTCCAGAGTTGCAACATCTTGGTTAGAGGTTGGCACCGCGCAAAAATTCTTTAACCGGTTAATTAACCGTTAATATTAAAATTAAGAGTTAACCGGTTAACCGGTTAATTTAATCACGTGGAATTTTTTAACTGGTAAATTTACTTACAAAATAATCACGCGCTGTTGAATTTTATTATTATACACTTAATAGATGCTAAATGATTACAGTCAAACCTCGCCACAGCGGATTCATGGTTCCAGCCAAAAAAATCCGTTATTATTATTATTATTATGACAAGAAATCCGCAGCGGCAAAATTGGTAATAATACAAAGCTCTCTCTCTATACCGAACCCTCTGTCCATTATATGCATTTTTCTGCTTTCGTTCATTATAGGGAGAAATTAATAATTGAATCGGAGACGGGCGACAAAAGGGAAATTCGTTATAGAGAAATTTACTTAGTGTTCGTTATAGAGAGGTTTAGTATAGTGCAATTAATAAACTAAATACAAAAATAAATAAATGAATAAATGAACAATACATAAGGAAATGAAAATTATTTGTTGAAATAGGATGTAATATTTGGTTGTATTATCCAATAATTTCACTTTTTTCAATGGTTTAAATGCTTTAAATTCTTTACAATCTATTTCTAAATCACTTTGTTGAAGAAAATTAAAAGCTATTTCAAAGGAAATTACGGCATCTTTCGTTGAAACTAGACATAGTGTTACTCTCAACAACTATTATATTATTGACATCATTTTGAAATCTCTTCGACTATATTTCTTGAATTTTAATTTCATTATTAGATATTTCATTTTCAAAGGGAGAATTGCAGTTTTCCTCTATCAATTTTGGTAATTTGGACATTTATATGTCACGTGAATCTGCTGTAATATAGAAAGACCCCATCAAAAATCTGTGGAACAAATTTATTATTAGTAGTAGAATCCGTTATCATTATGACAAACGTCTTAATTAATATTAATAAGAGGACAATACTTAAATCTATTGTAACAAGAAATGTGATGTGGCGAGGTCCGCTGTGACGAGGTTTGACTGTAATATATAAAAAAAATTAATAAATGGTGGTTAACCGGTTAAAAAAATATCTTAACCGGTTAAACGGTTAACAGTGCCAACCCCTAATCTTGGTTGCAGAGCCATCCTTACCCTAGAAGTAGGATCGTTGCAGATGACTTTTCATCTAACATGGCAGCCTTCTCTGGTCTGGGAAGATTAGTGAAAGCGTCGTTGATGATCGGTGCAGTCCCAGTAAACTCCAGGGCAACGCGCCCCCCTGGAATTTAATTGCATCGTTGTATCATTGGGGTGAGCAGTCAGATTAGCCTTGTGTACCCAAGTAGTAATAATACCAAGGCACACATAAACAAAACTTTTAATAATGCATATCTACCCAGATTCCTGGGGCTCACAAGAATAAATTATTTTCCTGATTATCAATTTTAGTTCCCATTTTCCCATTGTGTAGTCCTTATGAATAATAAATCTGATGTTGATCACAGGTGTCAGATTTAATTAAATTTTCCTATCACAAAAATACAAGCATTGTGTTTTCACACGCCTCATAACTATGGATTTTTTCCACAGGTGAAACAATTGAACAAGTTTGAAGGCTTTGGACAAAACTTTTACTTATCTTCCTCTCAGACCAGACATGGCTGTCACAACCATATGGGCATTGATTGCTGATGAGGATCAGCATTTGTGTGGTGATTGCTTTGTATTATACCCTCTCTAGAATAAAGTTGGTATCTGCACCTGATTGAAAATTCAGCAACTTGGGAAGTTGCTGTTTTGGATTTTCCCCGAATTCCGAGTTTTGAGTCCTGGTTTGTGTCTTGTTGGTGGTAAGTCTGCTCACCAACAACCCTACCCCCATTTAAAAAACAAATTCAGTTGGTCAAATAAAAATTAAAGAGGCAGAAAATATGGGAATGATTAATTTATATAACATACCAAGCAAAATCTGAACCATTTTATGATTTTTCTCTTGTTGACCATGTTGCAGACAAAGATGTATATAAACATGCAATAAATTTAATCTATAGGACAGGGGACTGATTGGGCAAAACCCCATTCAGACCCTACCCAAAATTATAAATTGGTTAGTATCAAAGAAACAGAGAATTTATGAAAATAATTATACAAAACAAACACTATTTTACAACTTTCCTCTTAACATCAGAGCCCAAATGCAATTTCAGGGTCACCAACCCCACCCTGAATTGTAACCTCATGTACTTGAAACGAGTTGCAGATTCTCTTAATATTCCTCCAGAGTTGCAACATCTTGGTTAGAGGTTGGCACCGCGCAAAAATTCTTTAACCGGTTAATTAACCGTTAATATTAAAATTAAGAGTTAACCGGTTAACCGGTTAATTTAATCACGTGGAATTTTTTAACTGGTAAATTTACTTACAAAATAATCACGCGCTGTTGAATTTTATTATTATACACTTAATAGATGCTAAATGATTACAGTCAAACCTCGCCACAGCGGATTCATGGTTCCAGCCAAAAAAATCCGTTATTATTATTATTATTATGACAAGAAATCCGCAGCGGCAAAATTGGTAATAATACAAAGCTCTCTCTCTATACCGAACCCTCTGTCCATTATATGCATTTTTCTGCTTTCGTTCATTATAGGGAGAAATTAATAATTGAATCGGAGACGGGCGACAAAAGGGAAATTCGTTATAGAGAAATTTACTTAGTGTTCGTTATAGAGAGGTTTAGTATAGTGCAATTAATAAACTAAATACAAAAATAAATAAATGAATAAATGAACAATACATAAGGAAATGAAAATTATTTGTTGAAATAGGATGTAATATTTGGTTGTATTATCCAATAATTTCACTTTTTTCAATGGTTTAAATGCTTTAAATTCTTTACAATCTATTTCTAAATCACTTTGTTGAAGAAAATTAAAAGCTATTTCAAAGGAAATTACGGCATCTTTCGTTGAAACTAGACATAGTGTTACTCTCAACAACTATTATATTATTGACATCATTTTGAAATCTCTTCGACTATATTTCTTGAATTTTAATTTCATTATTAGATATTTCATTTTCAAAGGGAGAATTGCAGTTTTCCTCTATCAATTTTGGTAATTTGGACATTTATATGTCACGTGAATCTGCTGTAATATAGAAAGACCCCATCAAAAATCTGTGGAACAAATTTATTATTAGTAGTAGAATCCGTTATCATTATGACAAACGTCTTAATTAATATTAATAAGAGGACAATACTTAAATCTATTGTAACAAGAAATGTGATGTGGCGAGGTCCGCTGTGACGAGGTTTGACTGTAATATATAAAAAAAATTAATAAATGGTGGTTAACCGGTTAAAAAAATATCTTAACCGGTTAAACGGTTAACAGTGCCAACCCCTAATCTTGGTTGCAGAGCCATCCTTACCCTAGAAGTAGGATCGTTGCAGATGACTTTTCATCTAACATGGCAGCCTTCTCTGGTCTGGGAAGATTAGTGAAAGCGTCGTTGATGATCGGTGCAGTCCCAGTAAACTCCAGGGCAACGCGCCCCCCTGGAATTTAATTGCATCGTTGTATCATTGGGGTGAGCAGTCAGATTAGCCTTGTGTACACGAGGAACGAGTGAATGACTGTAAAGTGTTCAAGGTGGCATATGTGCTTCAACGCCTGCTAATTTCCGATAATCAAACATAACATATCGAAATGTTTCATATTTGAATTGTTTCTTTTTCAATGGTGTGCTACCTTGACATCTTGTAATCATATTAATAACAATATTAGTAACAATTACGCAAAGAAAAATACCAATCGTTTGTTCACCATCTTATTACCCAGCGAGATCTACTCCGCGTTTTGATTTCCAATTATATATATTTAAAAGACACCACATTATATCAACACAAATAAAAAAAGGTATCTCTGTCATTAACACGTTTCTTTTTAGAACCAATCGTGCCAAATAACATCACTCGCGTTTTGTCATCTGTCAAAAAATAAATTGTTTTTCCAAAAAAAAAAAAAAATCAATTCGCGTCTGTCCCCCCAAAAAAAACATAAATAATTAATTTGTTATTTGATCGACAAACGTACACATTCATTTTAAAAAAATGTCAAAATCAGTGACAAAAAGAAGAAAACGCGAAGACAACTTCATTGAAACGAGACCTGAGTAAGTGTTATAAGAATGGTGGTGGTTATCGCCACCACTCGTCACTCATCACTCTAGTTATTAATAAAAAGAATGATGATACTGCAACTTGTTATATTCTATATAGTTCTTATCATTTATTTTAATTAATCAATTTAATAATAATATCTAGAAAACATTCATTCATTTATTTGGAACAAAAGAAAATATTCGAAGAATTATTGGAAAATTCAAAACATGAAGAATTAGTCCTTAAATGTTTTTGTTATTTGTTAAAACAAGATCTCTTGCTCTACGAAAAAAAAGAACAGAATGACATGCTTAAATTAATTTTATTTGAAATAGACAAAGAATTACAGCTGGATAATTCAAGTTTCTCAGATAAATATCTTAAAACATTTAAAAAGGTACATTCAATCCTGATAAATCCATTAACAAATCTGGTAAGTATAATCTTAAATAAATAAAGACATTAGCAAAGATTTTTTGCTAGAGGAAGTAAAATTAAAAAGATATCTCTATTATACAAATATAACGAACTTTACTCAACTATTTTCTGTTTACTTTTTGCAAACATTTAACTAATTAATAATTAATTAGTTAAATGAATAGAAAGTAACAAATATTTGTTAACTAAATTTAGAGATAGAAAGTTTTCAGACTTTTTTTAGTAGAAAACTTCTAATTTTGTTAAAATTTTTTAATTGTGTGTTTTTAGTTCCAAAAAGGTATTATTAACAGCATTTGGGTTACGATTGATGGTTACAAAAAAGTATTAAGAATTTTAGACAAAATAAATTTCAAGGACAATGATTACAGCAATGATGAATCACAAGACACTGATTCTCTAAATAGTAGCAGTAGTTACGAATGTTATGAAGATAGTAACAATAGTAGCAAAGAAGATGAAGATGATATGCAGAAGAGAAAAAACTTGTTAAGAAATCTGAAGAATACATGTACTCATATAAATGTTTGTAAATGTAACTATTATTTTCATTTTTGGTAACATATATAAAAATTCCACCATTTAAAAAATATTAACATTTTTTAGAAAATTGTTGAGTGGAAAATTGATGGTTATGATGTGTTAAATGAAATCTTTCAAAATATTAAAAAAGATTCCATTGAGAATTTTTCACATGACTGTCCATTAATGTCATTGAATGTAGATTATAATATCAACTGGACTATTAATAGTAAAACCAGACTAATCAAAAAGTTTTATAGTTCCATTAAGAGAAATTCCATCTATGCTACCTTTACACCATCATTAGGCAATAATATATGTGAAAAACGTCTAAAATTTTTGTTGTAGGTATCTTCATATTATTATTAGTCTATATTATTAATTGTTTAATATAATTATAAATTACTAGAAATCTGAGATGGGATCTCAACCAAGTAAAAAATATACCAGCATCATATTACAACCAGTGTTGAAATTTCGTTGTGTAACCAGTACAAATTTAGAAACTATCTCCAAAATTAAAAACTTGATTGGTGTGTAATGTTACACCCCCGCATTCCCCGCACCGAATTTTCAACACTGATTACAACGAGGGTACCTATGAACATGAAATTGGTTCATTTTTTGATGTTCTGTTAAATTTTAATGATGTTCAAGTAGCTTGGTAATTAAAATTTCATTGTATAAATGATACCAAATAAACCAACAATTAGTTAAGCAATTGTTTATATACAGGAATGAAGAAGAGAGCGAAGCATCAAAGGAAAGGGTGATCTCCACTACAAATGATAGAGTATATGGTCATAAGCCTGATTTTCAGGTTTTATATTATCTTCAGTTTGAGACATATGAATTAGCATTTTGTGAAATTAGTGGAGTTCCTGAGCTTGTTGACACAAAAAAATTTAATGCTGACAAGAACAAACTATGTAGATTTGGATCAGATGCAAAGGCTAGAATGCTAAAAAAAATTTATGACATAGATAGTGGCTATTTCTACAAAAATCTTCAAAATTTGCTCAAAATTCCAATCATGTTGATACAAGTTTATCGTGAGTATTTAGCTGATAAGGATATCTAATTTCATATGTATACATGAATATTGACTTTTAACTTGAATAGGTTCAACACTGTATATATATCAATATACACAAGAAGCAATGGTCGATCTTAGCAGCAACAATATTTATTCACCAATCGGAAGCTTTATTTTACTTGATGAAATTGAATATTTTTTTGAAAAGCAAACAGAGTTGTATCAAATTGATTTCATCACTAAGCTATTGAAAGTAAGAGAATCAGTTAAAAAAACTTTGTCAGAGATTAAATTACACTTTAATGAAGCAACTTTACAAGTAACTAAACCACCTTGGCAAATAGCAAGAATTAATTACAATGTAGTACTAACTACACCAAATTAATAGATATAAAGAAAATCAAAAACCAATAAAATTGATAAATATAAAGCCACTTACAATAAAAATTAATTAACAAAAAATTGCTTTACTAAAAATAAAAAAAACCACTTGACAGACTATTAATTGAATGCTTTGAAATAAAATTGCAACCAGATTGATAATTGGTTAACACGAAACTATTGGTTTGCTATTGTGAGCATGTAAATTCCAGCTACACTGACTCAACATGCCCAATAAATATGTATAAATAATATAAAGTCATATAATATATATATATATACTACCCAGGTTTTCCAAATACTCTTGAGGTGTCCCATGACTGTTCCCCTCGACCAAAAGTTGATACTCTCTAGGTGTCCCCTGACTGTTCTCCTAGACCCAATAAAATACCTCTAAGTGTCCCCTGACTGTTCTCCTAGACTAAAGAAAGGAATTAAAAGAAAATATTTACAACTATGCTACTTGAGGCGTCCCACCAAGCAACACAGTAAAGTTAAAGGGGTTCCTGACTAATAATTAAAGGTTGGCCAAACCTTTACTCATTAGAAAGGATTATAAATATAATCATACTAATATTATAATAATTAATAATAGCATATGATAAGCAAATTAATGATGATGATAAAATTAATTACAATTATTAATTTAGAATTCATAGATAGTCATCCCTCATCTCTTGAGTGCATATATGGCAATAATAATAATAAAGATGTTAGCTAACCAACATCAAGTGATATTACAGGTTTGCACCTATAATGTTCTGTATAGGTTGATGCATCTTTAATTACATTTTCAAGAAATACTTTCAACATGTCACTTGTTTCTTCATATAACTCCCCATAATGTGCTAATCTTTTGATGGAGGGATCTGATAATCCTTTAATGTTGTCACTAAGTATTTTTCAATGTCATTTAGCACCTCTCCTTCCAATTCCTTCCCTTTTGATTATTTATATTATTCTGTTGTAAGATTTTATGAAAATTTAATAAATTACCAAACAGAAAAGTTTGTTAAATGCCTGCCTCTTCTACAACATATTATCAAAAATTTGATAAGATGCATCATCACTATAAATATTATTTATTCAATATCATTAATATTTATATTATTGTCAATATCATTATCACCATGAATATTATTTTCAATAATATTATTAATATTTCCATTATCATCAATATCATAAAAATTTTCATTATCATTAAATACCATATGGCAATGGCTATATTCCATTACAAAAAAGTTAAAATTAAATTCAAGTTAATTTTAAAGAAAAAATGATGATGCATTCTTTAAGAAAACAAAAACATCTATCTAAATTAACAAAAATATAAAATCAATAGATTAATAAAAAATTTTGCTTAGAGCTTACATCATCATTGGATACCATGATCTTTCAATTTATTTTTTAATGATTTTTTAATTTGTTAATTGTTTTTTAATTTATCATTTATTCTTGAACATTTTTTATTCATTAATCTTGTTATAAAGAAACTAATTTTAAATTCTATTATTGGGAAGTCCAAATTAATTAAACAAAACAATCAGTATTGCTTATTTGAAGATAATATATTATATTTAACCCAGTCTCTTTATCAATAAAGTGCTCAAGATCCTTCCATAGACTTTCAATAAAAATCAAACCCACCAGTGATAAAAAAATTCAATTTTTTTGATTTATATCATAGAGTTGGTTATTGTATGTTTCCAATTAACAATATGCAGGGAGGCTCATTGGTAAAAATTGTTGTTTTTTTTATTAATCATCTTTTGATAAAATAAACTATTGCAAAAATTTATTTATTGTTTAATGAAATAGAGTTACTAGTTTGCTTTTTCTTATTTTGATTATGGATGGTAGGTTAATTTAAATCTAGACCATAACTATTCTTCATGGAGTCAATTAATCAAAATTCTTTGATTTTTTTTTTTTTGTAAGTTACTCAATAACCATGTTTATTATAGACTCATCCAAATTTAATTTATTCCATTCACCCCATCCATCATTACAGGATCAATCTTTCAATTTTAAAAAAGTGATAAATATATATATATGTATGAAAGTAATAATTATAGTGGTCCTGCTGGATATCAAAAGCAATTGATTTTTTAGAGAAAAGTTGCAATTGTGGTCGCTCAGCAAGAATGAATTTGCAGAATTATATGAATCCTTTCCAAATTTGAAAAAGACATATTTTTAATAGCCCAGCTTAAAACTGTAGATGGTGGATCAATAAGCACTAACAGATGCCTTAAAAAAGAAAACTAGATCTAACAAAAGGACTTTCTATCATTGATATCACAACACACCACTTTGTCAAAAAAAGTAGGAATTGGTAGGACTTACTTTGAAAAGATCAGAAATCGGACCTGATGAACAATGGCCTTCTAGCAAGAGTTCATGGCAATTTAAAGAGAATGCCTCAATGAAAAACTAAGATGATGATTGATAAAAATGTTGCAGCAGTTGTAAATAATTTTTTAGAAAATTATGCCAAGTTCATTCATGATTGCCAAGCCTAGGAAGAAGTGTTTGTAGAATAATAACCTAATCAGTTATATTTTTACCAGCCAAAATGAGTTATAAATGAGTATACAGAGATTTACTGGGCTGGTCTGGAAGAAGATAACAAATTGAAACATAATGTATTCAGAAAGTATGACATCAATCAACACCAGAGATTCAAATTATGAGCCCAAGGACTGGTTTGCATTATAATCCTCATCAGGAGGAAGAAGCCAAAGATTTACTGAAAAGGATTAAAGAACATCTGTCCAAAGCAAAATTATAAAGAAGCTGTTATAATAAGAACACCAAATTAATTAAAGAGCAGAGAAAACTGGTTGTTCAAAATTATTCCCAAGGTAAAACACAGTATTTCAGTGTTGATACTACTGCTCATTATAGTTATGAATAGCCCAAAATGCTCATTTACCTCATACTGATCAACAAGTAAATAAGATCTATCATATTAGCCCACGTAAAGTCCATTTATTTGGTATTCAAAATGAGAACAAATAAATTAATTGTGTTGTACCGCATAATATGTAATAATTTATTATATTGATCGACACAATATAGCCCAAATTTGGTAAAATACCATTACGGGACAAATTGATTTTAAACACGTTTAAAAAATAAAGTATATAAGATAAAATCGGTGAAAACAAATTTCTTTTCTCTCTAAAAAAAAATAAAGATGATAACAACTAAAACGTCTTTAACATTAACAAGTTTAATAGTATTATCATTGGTAATAATCTTCAATACGGTATATGATCCAATATCAGCTTCAATAGGGTTCTCATTACTTGGATGTGCAATAACATGGAGTCTTGTACCGATATTAAAAGATAGCTTCATAAAGGCCAATTTATTTGGCAATGATTTAAATAAACTTAATAAACCTATAATGTACGTATGTATACATATATAGAATATATTTTTTTCAATGATTGCTTGAATTTATACATAATTAACACGTAAAAAGATACAATTATTATTATTTATAGACCTGAAAGCATGGGAGTTGTATGTGCAACTGTTTATTTAATTTGTTTATTTTTATTTATTCCATTTCCATTCATGGAATGGTTTTCAGAAGATAAAGGTAAATCTTTTATAAGGTCAGAGGAATTCTCTCTCGTTCCAACATTTCCTCACCACAAGGTAATATTTATTTATATGCACACTATTTGTTTATATAATATATAACTCTAGTTAGAAATTAATTTTGTTGTTATTGAAAATGTATTAGTAGTTGGGAGAATTTCTATCAGCAATGTTGTCATTACAATCAATGATTTTCTTGGGCTTTGCAGATGATGTATTTTCTATTAGATGGAGATATAAATTGTTATTACCAGGAATAGCATCTATACCATTATTAATGGTTTATTATGTTAATTTTGGTGAAACTCATATTATCATGCCAATACCTCTAAGATTTTTATTTGGTCGATATGTTGATTTAGGTAATATTATTCTTTATAGTGAATGATTAATATTAATATTATTTAATAATTATAATGATCATGATGGCAATAAAAATAACATTATTTAAATATTCTAAAAAAATTCTTTTACATAGGAGTATTTTATTATTTATATATGAGTTTGATGTCAGTTTTTTGTACCAATTCAATTAATATATTGGCAGGTATAAATGGAGTGGAATTAGGACAATCTTTGATTATTGCTATATCAATTGTGATCAATGATTTATTATTTATAAATGACAAAGGGAATTTAAATCAATTAAGTATTGAGGCTCATTTATTCTCTTTATATTTTATGTTACCTTTTATTGGAGTTTCTATTGGTTTATTGGTTCATAATTGGTAAGATTTTATATACAAATTTATGTGTATCTATTTATATATTATAATATCTTTAACATTGAAAAATACATTTGTTTATAGGTACCCATCAAAAGTTTTTGTTGGAGATACTTTTTGTTATTTTGCAGGAATGTCATTTGCAGTAGTGGGGATATTGGGGCATTTTAGTAAAACATTATTATTATTTTTTATACCACAAATATTAAATTTTTTATATTCTTTGCCACAATTATTTAAAATATTAGAGTGTCCAAGACATCGTATGCCAAAGTAAGTATATTTTTATAAACTATTATATATAAGATTATTATCATTATATATTATCAAATTTATTTATCAATCAATATTATTATGATTATTGTGTGATAGATTTAATCCTTTAACAAGACAATTAGAATTTTCACGAATTAGAATACAAAAACCACTATCATTTCATACATCTTTAACAATAAAACTATTTTCATATTTAAAAATAATTAAAATAACTAATCAACTAACAAATAAAACCACCACTACTCTTTCCATATCTTCTAATATAGACAACAATGATAATATAGATAATGATTATATAGAAATCAATAATTTAACATTAATTAATTTATTATTAATAAAATTAGGGCCAATGAATGAACTAAATTTAACAATTTTAGTTCTTTTAATACAAATATTATTTAATTCTTTTGGATTTTTTATTAGATATAAGTTAGTTCATTTTTTTTACGAAGTTCAATAACATCTATTTATTGTTTATTTCGTTTAAATAAAATAATTTGATTTGCAAAATAAATTTTCATGATAAAAAACTTATTTTCACAACATTGGCTGCTGCATTGAATTTTACCAAATTTTAGTTTCTTTTTATTGCATATCAATGATTGATCAGATAATCAAGTTCACATTATCTTCATAAGAATTTAAGATTAATGTGCAAACTCTAAAGGAAAAATGAAATACCAACTAACAAAATTTCTCTAGGATGATCAATGTATTTTCAGCAAAAGCCTTAATGCTTCACTGATATTGATGTCTTCGATCATTCATTCCTGTAAAAATAGTGGATAGTTTTTTTGGCTACTATAGTACTAATTAAGTATGGACTTGCAAAGAAAAAAATCATGTAAATATAAACAAATGCTAGCATCGTAAAAGTTTGATTAAAAAGAAAGTTCTATTCCAAAAAAAAAAAACCTTTAAATTTTCTATTTATATTATATGTACATTATTGTTAATAAATAATGTATTCATATTAACAAGTAAATCTTGTTACGCTAAAACAGAAAGATACAAATAGAAAGTCATCATTGTTGTCGCTGCCACCATATCCTTCCACAATTAAAATGGCAGCGGAAAGGTCAGTAAGTCTCCTTTATAAACAGATAAGGTCTCTCTCCATAAGTGTTTGCGTGCAAAAAAATGTTCCTTATGTTACGGGCAGCATTAATATCTCGATTCCAATGTATCAGACAGAGACTCTGACAGACCATAATTTTCGATGCTTATCAAGCTACTCAACACACAAAGAACAGATTGAGGAAGTACAGAACTCGTCACCTTGCAGTCTCTAGAAAGCTCTCGATGAAATTACCTGGAACATGCCTGTGTGATGTTGATTTACCATCGCCAAATGCAACTATCGTATCATTACCATTACTATTTGTTATTCTTTTGCACAGATATCAAAGGCCTCCTGTTTATTAATAAAAGATTTCCATCGCAAACAATGCCAGCAACATTCACCATAAAAATCAAGGCAAAACAGAACGTAAGTGAGACAAGTGCCATATTCATAGACATTAGTAAGTTTTGTATTAGTATTAGGTGAAAGGTATGTAAATAATAATGTTCAAATGTTATTCTTGTTTGATAGCAAATTAAATTAACAAAGTATAACTCATCTTGAATAACAGCCTGAAGATATTATTGTTTTCAAATCACAGTTCACGTTTTTTGCAAGCATGGGCAAACCCTGCTAAGTTCCAGTACTCCTTCTCTAGAAAATTAGTATGTTTTTCCATAATTTTCCGTATATCATGTACGGAATATGTACGGAATTGTTCATTAAAAGAGCACTTTTCCATACATATTTGCCCTGAAAAACCATACTAATTTTTTATAGGGCTTCTAGGAACAACTCGCAACTTTTTCACTTGGAACTCACTGTTACAAACGGACCTATCCTTCCAGGATCCAGCCCAAATAATTTGCGTCCATTTAAATCAATATTCGATCCTTCTTCATCAGTATCCTCTTTATTATCTTCTGCAGACTATCGGTTTGTCGATTTTGGATGTTGACTTTACGCCAGGTTTTTCTTTCAGCTCTGGATCTTTGAATGGTTGTTAATCCTACTTTTTCAGTTGATTTGTACATGTAATGTAAATGTACTTTTTGTTGTAAAAAGTATTCAGGCAGTAGTGTGAAGAGACAAGGATCATGTTCCCGGTTATGCTTGATAAAGGTAGAAAGGATCTTGCGGAGACCTGGAAGATATGACTACCAAGATGCTTCTACGGATGCACCACCAAGAGCTTGATTTTGGAATAATGTCTGTTGCACTTTCAAGTAAATATATTGTATGTGGTAATAAAGTGAAGAAGTTATTGTGGATATGATGTAGAGAGTTTATCAATAATCCTTGAAGGAAAGGAAGAGGGATCACGATTTTTCAAGTTTAGTAATGAAATAATTTATGATAGAGCCGATGTGTTTTTGAGGTTGATGAATCTTAATAATTTATATTTTACCATCTTTTAAGTCGGTTCCGACAATTTGTAACATATTGTCATGCAGCAGAAGAGAGAAGTTGCCCTAATGATTTTTTTATTTGTCCAATCCTATTCCTCGAGGCGATATTGTGTGTAGAGTGTATCTCGGATTTTATTTATGACAGGTTCTTTGATGGTGTCAATTGTGTTTTGGTATGTAGTTACAGCTTGGAAACGCTACCGCATATACTTGAAAGCATCTTCGCTTGTGTTGAAAGAGGATTGATCAAAAAGGCCACGTGATATATTTCTGCTTTGTTAGCCAACCAGGAGCCTTCAAGCGCTTTGGATTGGAGGTTCAAGATCTTTATCTTTAAGAAATCTTTTTAGTCCGGTTTTGACTGTGCATTGTTTGTATTTTGTGTCTTTGTCCTGAACAGATTTGGATGTACAACGTTTTTGAAATTTACAACGACCGCTTGAATAATGCGAGTGATCGATCCCTTACAAGATGTTTCTAAAAATAGAGGCGGAGTAAATATTTACTTGGTTTTTTGGTTGTTCTTTGTTTATGTCCTCATTTGCTTTCTTTTAGCTGAAGATTCCGCATATGGTATATACATTTATTTCTAGATTTTTGTGGGGATATCTACTACGTCATTATACTTCGTCATCATATAAATTAAAATGCAACCAAACAAAAAGGATGGAATTCTTTTGAGAAAGTCGGGGGGTTTTTTTTAAGATTACTGCAACACTTTTTACATAGTTTATTGGGCGGTTAATGAACAAATAAATTAAACATTAATAATTAGTTTATGTATTGATATCAATTACGATTTATTAATCTTTCTTTCATTGGGAGTGTACAATCAACAGAAAAGTCTTTATTATTAACAACAAGTAACTTGCCGAGAAAGGTAAAGTTTCTATTTGTAATACAAATTCTTATTCGTTCGTTATTATTTGAATTATTCGTTTATTCAAATAGAAATTTCTTATAGAAATTTCCTAGTTGTTATTATTATAGTACGGTGTTTTGCGCATGTCAATAAGATGAAAATCGGATTTCGTTGTTATCAGAATTGTTATTGTTATATGTATATATATGTAATTAAATTTTATTGAGAAATTTTCAATTGTTACAATATCGTTGTTATTGTATAATTGTATTAATATTAATATGGAATAATTAGATTCAATTTTTCAATCAATATTCATTTTCTTTTACAGCGTTGTCAGTTTTTGTAATCAATACTCATAGCTTATACTCTTCTAACAGGTCCCGCAAATTATACAGGCTGCAGCTGGCTCAATTAAATTTTTTTATCAGTAAATATAATAGGGTCAAATTGTTTATTTAATTTTACGAACCATTAATAAGGCCAATTAATTTGGTGTTAGGGGGGACAAATTTGGTTAAAAGTTATTGAACTAAGTCATATCAAATAAAAATTTTGTTTGATTCCAGCCCAAATTATCAAGTAAAATATTACGTATCAATTTAATTCATTCACGAAAATTAAATCACAAATCATTTCTTTTTTCTAAAAATAAATTTTCTCTGTCAAATTTTTTCTTCTAATAAAAATTTAAAATGGTTGGAATTAAAAAGAATTCAGTGCTAAAATTTTTAGGATCCATATTTTAATAGTGAATTTTTATTCAATTGCTGACTAATAATATGAAAAATTATAAGGCCAAAAGGCTATTAATCTATCATGAAAATTCAAGGGCACAATGAAAATGATATATTTTGTCACGAGTGATCTGCAGATCTATAAAACTCACTGTATATAGTAAAATCTTTTATGAAACCTATAATTAAAATTTGGGTGGGATGTTTGAATATGAAGTTCTGATTGGTTAATTTGAATTTCACATATTAAAATGTGAATTGCAAACTTCATGTATATACAACAATATTAAAAAAAAAAACAATAAAATCGGTGAATTATTATAATCAATCGGTCAATTAAATCAATTAAATTGATTGTTAAAATTTAATTTCATAGGCAGTTTCAAAATTTTTAATGTCAATATATATTATGGTCAAATCAGATTCTTTTTTTTTAATATTATTGCAAATCTTAGGGCCAAGTTGTTTAAATAATATTGATTAAATAATTTAAATTCTTCTTCTACTAAATATAAAAAAGTAGTATATTAAATTTAATTTTGGTCTGGGTCATATAACAAACAGGAATTTTTGTTACTAACCCATGAAGTTTGTGGGGCCTCTTCTAGAAATTTTTAATTGAGAATAATCAAAATTAAGGATCTGCCCTTACTTTCATCA